GGGTCCGTAAGGTGCTACATGACCGCGCTGGGCGTCGAGGAGGCCGCGTCCCAGCTGAGGCTGGAGCGCGCCTGGGCGGTCGCCGTAGGGGGCGAGCTGGCGGCAGCGAACGTCGACGCCGTCGTGCGGGCGGCCGCGGGCCTCAGGCCCGGCAGCGTTGCCCCGCGCCCGCTGGCCGACGGTCGCTGGGTGATGCAGGAGGCCGGCTGCAAAGGCCCAAGGGTGGGGCTGCTGAAGGACTGGCTGTACTACGAGCAGGTGGTGCGCGACGTGCAGGACGCGGCCGGCATGAAGGCCGTCCTTGCCGAGCTGGCCTGGGAGGACGCCCACCCTGGCGATATTCCTCGGGTCGCCTGGCCGCCAGGCAGCGGCTGAGCGCCCCAGCCGCGCGGCAGTAGCCGTACCGCTGTCAGGGGGGGCAGCGGGGGTACGGGGGGGATGGGGGGAGGCAGCGTAGGAGAGGGAGGGAGGAGCTGGAGGGGCAGCAGCAGCAGCAGCAGCAGCAGCAGCAGCAGCAGCAGCAACAGCAGCAGCAGCAGCAACACTGCAGCCCATCAAGCCGTCTGAAGTTTACGTAACTGCAAAAGTCGTGTGGCTCGGGCTGGGCCGTCAAACCTTTGTGTCACCCCCTTTCGATGCTTCGCCATATTGGCAACCATGCTGCTACATGCAGTGCTGAAGGCTCGGAACTAGTGTCTTCCATGATGGGAGGAGGGAGGGAGGAGGAGGAGGAGGAGGAGGAGGAGGAGGAGGAGGAGGAGGAGGAGGAGGAGGTGGAGGAGGAGGAGGTGGAGGAGGAGGAGGGAGGAGGAGGAGGGAGACGGGAGGAGGGTGTCGAGGCGTGGCGCCCTTGATGCCTGGCGTGTCGTGGCCGACCGCGGCAGCTCCGGGGAGTTAGACGGCGGTCAAGCAGCGGCGGGGCGCGCCGGAGCGCAGCAGGGCACGGCTAGAGGGGCTGGGGGGGTGAGGTCCAGCGAAACATACCTCAGGGAACGAAGAATGACATACACCGCACTCACATCTATACCCCTGTGTGTGTGTTCGGCCGTTTTTGGGCTGTCATGTGCGCTGTCATGTGCGCGGCAGCTGCCAGTCATGTGCCAGGCCCGTGCGGCCCTTCTCGGATGGACTTCCTACTGGATAGAAGTGAGCGCTATAGAAGTGAGTCCGGTGTAAACATAAAAAATCGGAGGTCCGCGCGGATTTCTCGGGTCGGCGCTGGACTCCCCTGGCGGCGCCCCCGGCGCCGCCCCTGGCGCGCGGAGCGCGCCAGGGAGGGGGGTCCAGCGCCGATTCGAGAAATCCGCGCGGACCTCCGAGGTTTTATGTTTATGTCATTTTTCGTTCCCCTGATATCGCAGGCCTGGAGGTCGACACCAACACCAATGTCGGCGGTGGGCCTCCACCGAGGGACGAGGATCCCGATCTCGGTGAGGGTGGTAATATTCTGGCTTCCAAGGTGACCGAAATATTACCACCACCACCGAAACCTACAAGCCTCGTCAAAAATAAACAGAAACGAAGTTGGAAATCACGACGGTCGATCTTCTCGGGCACTTGTTAGAAATTGCGTTCTTCAATGCTGCGGCGGGGTTGTCGGATTTTTGAGGCCCTTGCGCCCACGTCAGATATCTAGCGTCAGCATTGGAGTAGCGCTGCCCATACAATCACCGAAAACAGAATCCCTCAGTTTATTTTTGACGAGGGTTGTAGGATCATCTTCCCCCTGTGGAGGCACCCCCCTGTGCTGGTGTTGGTGCCCGTTTCCAGACCTCCAATGTGAGCATGTACAGGAGCTTTCGGAGATCCGCGCGGAGTTCTTGGATCGGCGCTGGCCCGCCCTGGCGGCACCTCCGGCGCCACCCCTGGCGCGTATCCCGCGCGCCGGGGAGGGGGACCCAGCGCAGAGCCAGGGCATCCGCACGGGCCGTCGGAAGGTCGGTCTAGAGTTGTCTGGGGGTCTCAGTTGGCCCAGCACTGGTTCTGGCCCGCAGGAAGTGCGTTCACGCTTGAGCATGCCGGGTTCGGGAAGTTTGTTCTGCATCTTCCGGCCTCCAGGGGCCGTCTGAGGGCCCGGGGGCCGTGAGAAGCGGATCCTGGGTGGAACCAGGTGGACCCTTGGAGGGGTCCAGGGGCAGATTTTTTGAGCGGATTTGGCGCCACTCCCCCCTCCTGGCTTACTTGGCTGCCTCGATACGCACGTGTTGGTACGCAACACGTGCCGTGCTCAAAACGTCCGTGTCAATGCGTTGCGCGCTGGCTCCACGTATCGGCCCACGCTTTGGCGAACGCATCGCAGCAGATACGTTTTCAGGATGCGCCTTGGGCTCCGTATCAATGCTCTGAATGTTGCGTGTTGCGTATCGGGGCGGCCAGGCCGACTTTTTTTCTGGAGCCCCAGCCAGTTCAAACACCCCCGGCCGCCTCCAGGGATCGATGGCGTCATACGCAATGCAGCCCCGTTTGCCCGTCTGCCCGCGGCAGTGGTCAAAGCACGCGCCATTGAGCTGCTCCCATGTTGCCCACTGCGATACAGGCCTCGGAAAAAATAGCGAACACTCGTGCCACATTCATCTGTGAACGCCTCCCCCTCCCCCCAATGTTCAAAGTTGGCGGTGGGTCTGATGAGTTGCACCTCGACCGCAGTCTCCCCCCCGCGTGCCAACTTTGAGTTTGGGGGGCAGGGGGGGTGTTCATTAATTGTTTCCCTCTACTGTATCGCGGCACGTGAAACTGCCTGTTGGGCTCCCACTGCCCACTGTGATCCCCCCCTGGCAAGTGACGTTTTGCCTGCTGGGAGCGGCGTGCGTGCCACACTCCCAGGATCTCGGTTTTTCGTTTTCGACTGCATTCGGAGGAGAACGAGATGCCCATACCTCTACCCTTCGCCCGTTTTCCCCTTGTTCGGGTCTCCTGGGAGGCCCTCGTCGCCACCGCTGGATTCGCCGCGAAATTCGGGTCAGAACATACCCCGGGAGAGTTCCTGGGAGTAGCGGTATCGGTACCTCTTGGTTTCTCAATCCTCTAGAGAGAGAAACAGAGAGAGAGAGAGAGAGAGAGAGAGCGAAAAGATACAAAAGGGAAGTGCCCTGCATCCTCTCCGATTTGGTTTGCCGTTGCCAGGGAAGCATGGCCCTCCTTTCCCTCGTTTCGTTGTCCGCATTATGGTTGTCCTCATGATGTTCATCCACCTCCCCCATGCCTTGTTCAGTTGAGGTTAGACGGTTTGAATGTCTTGAACTGACCTGGTCTCCCCATTGTATCACCGCCCCTCTGCTTCTAAGCCTCCATCCTCACCCTTTCTCTCCGATTCCCCTCTCCTTTTCCTCCACCCCTCCTCCTCCTGCTAATCATGATGTTCATCCTCCCTCTCCCAATCCTTTTCCTCCACGTCATCCCCTTCCACCTTCTCCTCCCCCCTGCTCCCTTCTCCCCCCTCCCCCAGACCTTCCCCTTCCCCCCTCATTATGCCCCCCCCCCCCCCCTCATCTCTCTCTCTTCCCTCCGCCCCCTTCTCCCCCTTTCCCTCCTCCTCCACCTCTTTCTGCTCCTCTTTCCCCTCGCCCCTCCCCTCCTCCTCCTCCTCCTCCTCCTCCTCCTCCTCCTCCTCCTCCTCCTGATTCGCCTGCCTGCAGCAGGCGAATCACGAGAAGGAGGAGCCCCTTCGCCTCGTCGCCTTCCTCGTCCTGGCTTGTCCCCCCTCTTGACGGTCCAGCTACGTCCAGCTCGGGGCCAGCGGCCCCCCCCAGCAAGGCTGTAGGCTGCCCTCCCGGCGACACGAGATGACGAAACTCCTAACTTTTCTGCGCGATTCGTTTTTCGTCTTCGTTTTCTTAACTATTCACTTCCCGCCGCGCTGATTCGTTTTTCGTCGTCCCTGTTCTTACTGCCGAACTCCCCCTTTTTCGTACTGCTAGCTTACTAACTGGTTTACCCCCGCGGCTACAGTCAAAACGTGTATTGAGGACGGGTGGTAAGGACGCAAGGCCCTTGGAGACCGAAGTTGGGATCGCTGGGCGGCGGGCGACCAGTGTAAACGGCAAAGGACGGGCCGCAGAGGCAAGGACACAAGAGCACCCTAGATGAAGGCGGGCGTCCTTGCTAGGCGCGTCCACTGGATTCGAAGATGTTTCTGATTCTTCAGTTGAAGTAGCCAACTGGTACCACATAGGAGCCAAAGCTCAGGATTGCAATCGTCCCGTTCCGTTCCGTTCCTTTCAATCCCCAGGACCCCCCCCCACGACGCGGAGGGACGCACGGCCAGGGCGATCGACAACGATTTCCAGACATGATGTCGAACCGTTCTCCTGGGCTCTCTTGGAGCGGTGGTGGGCGTGCGCCGCGCCAGACCCTCCATCGCCAGCCAGTGGCCAGCAGCGGCGTTGCCGGTCGTTGGACCACGCCCCCGGCTCTCGAGCCGTTCATTCTTCACCTGTCCCATGTCTTCTTCCTGCCCATCTCTCCCTGGCCCAGCTCGAGCAGCCGCCGCCTGCAGTCCTCGCGCGGGAAGTGGCGGCTGCCTGGCGAGTGGCCCCTGGTCCAGGCGGGTGGCGCCAGCCAGAGGGCATGCGCCAGGCCACGGAGCTGGGAGTGTCGTCGTTGCCGCCTCCCTCGTTCATGCCTTGCCAGGCGGCGCTGCTGCGCATGCACGCTCGCAGCGACGGCGGCACGTGTCGGGGCCGCCCGGCCGCGGCGCTGACGCAGCCAAGACTCGAGGATTCAGTCGGATCATGCAGGCGTGCTCGTTCGCTTGCATCGGCAGTTCGGCCAGCGCGCGCCGACGGTGGCACGCGGCCTCGCTCGATCACAGGCTGCGACTGGGATTCGCCCTCGCGCTGCTCTGGGCGGCGCGGAGGCAGGCCCTCGGGCGAGGCCCGCGCGCCAGCGCTTCAGGATGGGCACGCGGCGAGGGTCCGTGGCTCGGTTGCTGCAGCAGGGCAGATCTTGTGTGGGGTGGCGCCTGCGCGCGCGGCTGCTGCGCTGGAGTCTTGCCATCTGCCCGGGCGGGTTGGCCCAGCGTGCAGCACAACAGCTGCAGCGGTTCGCCGAGAGTGTGCGTGGCATCGTAGCGCAGTGTGCTGAACAGGTGGGCGATGGATCGGTCCATGCGAAGCATTCGGTGGCAGCCAGATTCATGCGTTCTCAGGTGCAGCCCGATGTCCCAGGGCCCAGTTGAATATTACTGCTGACGCCTGTTCTGTATTGCTGGCAAAGACGACGGCTAAGTCATGATGTTTTGCATCATGGTTTTGCGCACAGCGTAGTGGGAACCAGTATAGACGATGCGACATTGGTGCTCCAGGGTGTACCCACGTACGTTCTATACTGTACAGCCCCCTTCCTCCCTGAATGTGGTGACGTTTACCCAGTCGGCCAACCTACAGCCCTGCCGCTATCGAGTCATATGTGGCTACGGTTATATAATTAGCCCCCTGGAGGGGAGGCGGGTTTGACGCTCAATCGAATCTGTCCTGCCCAGGAGCGGGCATCGGGTGCTTGTGTTCTTTGTGAGGAAAAGTGTACCGTCAACCACATGCGTCGCCAGCACGGTCGGACATCCGCGGGCCGTCCACAGCACATGCAGCACCACGCGGGCAACTTGCTGTACCACGAAGCGCGCCGCCGGTGCGCCCGTCTCTCCGAGCTGCTTGCAGGCACGCGCGCCGACGGCCACGATATCATCCTTCTGCTGCTGGGCGCTGGGCCCCCTCCCTGGCGCGCGGGGCGCGCCAAGGGGCGGCGCCGGAGGCGCCGCCATGGGGCGTCCAGCGCGGAGCCGAGGAGTCCGCGCGGACCTTCGAGTTGTTATGGTTATGCCATGTGTTGTGTCGTTGCCCTGGCAGCGGCACCGGCAGCCGCAGCCCGCGCTCGTGCTGCGCCCTTCCGCACGGAGTGGTGATGCCGGGTGCCGCAGCTCTGCGCCGTGCCGAGCCAGACGATTGAGTTGCTCCTGGCGTGTATTCTCTTCACGCTCCTCTACAGAGGAGGGAAAAAACACACACACACAGACACGATGAATCGCCGATTCCCCAGAAAATATGGGAAAATATGGGAAGTGGGGGGGAAGACAGAAACCCAGAAAATATAGGAAAATATGGGGAATCCTTTTATTTGTGTGTGTGTGTGTTTATTTGTGTGTCCTGGGGCCCCTTCAGTGTATTCTCTTCACGCTCCTCTACCTCTTCTTCCTGGCCGTCTTCCCGTCATCTCCACTGACAGGTCTTGGCGGCAACGTCGCCGGCGTCACCCTGACCGCCGCGCCTCGGGGGTTTCGACATGCCGGGGCCCATGCAAACGGGGGTCAGCCAGAGCGCCGGACCTTGCCGGATCTTGCAGAGCCAGGGGTACACTGACCCGGGCTAGCGCGCAGGATCCTGCAGGATCTTGCAAAGCCCGACTGACTCGGGTTTGGATTGGCCCCGGTCAGCAGATCCCCGAGCACTGCGGGCCGCGCCTACATTTAAGTCGGGAATGTCCTTCTACAGGAAGAAGATTCGAAAATAGTGAAAAAGTTGGGGGGCGATCTTCCTATTACATTTCGACTATGTATGAGTATTTGTTGGCTCTTCAAATTTTGTCTTCCAAAATCCTCCTGTTGGGGGACATGCCCGACCTAAGCCTACATCAGCACCGGCGGCTTCCATGACGCAACACCGCGGCACCACGTCGCCGAGCAGCACGGCCCCCTCTCTCCACGCCATGGGGCAGCCTGGTCCAGTCCCACGTCGGCGAGCAGCACGGCCCCGTACCTCCGGCTCTAGCTCCCGTTTCTTCGAGTCTGGCACCCGTTCTTGACGCTCTGGTTCTTTTGCGGCTCCGAGTCTCAGTTCTCCGACGCTGGTTCAGACTCGGGTCGACGAGGCGTGCGAGGTGCACCGCACCACCGAGCAGCACGTTCCCGTGTCTCCGGCTCCGGCCTCCTCTTCTTCGGTTCTGGGCGACGAGGAGTGTGAGGTGCGCCGCGTCACCGAGACAGCACGTTCTTCTCTCTCTGGCTCTGGCCCCCACTCCTCCGACTCCAGCTCCGACTCCAGAGCACATCCTACCGATTTCAGCTGACTTTCCTTCCGACTCTGGCTCCCATGTTCTACGCCCCAACTCCAGTTTCCGTCTCTCCGACTCTGGCTGTCACGTTCCCGCTTCCGACGCCTTTCCCCATGGCTCCGACGCTGGCTTCCCCATGTGTCGTACTCCGCGGCTCTCGCTTCACTGATTCTGGGCCTGGGGGCACAAGTCCCGACACCCGCACCGACGCCAACCGCAACGCCAGGCATCGGCGAGGAGCATCCGCAGGGCACGGGCGCAATCGGGGCTGAGCAGCGCGACCCTTCGACCAATCCCGCTGATATAGCCACGCCCACTACCACCACCTCCGTCAGCACCCCTACCACCACCCCCTCCTCCACCACCATGACCACTAATGTTAGGTCGGGCCTGTCCCCCTACAGGGGGATTTTGGACGAATAATTTTAAATTGTCAACAAATAGTCAAAACATGGT